ATATGTTATAATTCAAGGCAGGTGATGTGCTGGTTAAGGAGCTGAGCTCTCACATGATCAACCACAGTTCACCAGCAGCTTGAAGATCATGCCAGGTGCATGCGTGTGCATGTCCAAAATCAGAGCGGAGAATGGAGAAGGGACTAGCACAGTCATTCCCACCGGAGGGTGACTTCTCTCTCTCCCTCTCTTGGGCAAGTGCATGTACCCTATGACCACAAGGTCTAGACATTTTTTTAAGATGTAAAGGCAGCATCTATTCAGTGGACTCACTTTTCCGTTCATTTCAGTCATTGGAACGTAATTATCCAGAACGACTCATTCCCCAGTGGTTCTAGGTAGCTAGCGTTTTAGTTGATTACTGGATGTACATGTAGTTTCTGTCTTTCGGATGTTGGAAAATTAAGAGAACACAGAACTGTGGTAAGAAATCCCTGACTTCCAGTGTGGCTGGATCAATTTCTGCTTTTGCCACGTCAGAGCCTTTTTAAAAGGCTATTCTGGGCCAGCCTCCTAGCCTAGTGGTTAAGGGAGCCAGATCCCACATGACCGACTGCAGTTCAGGTTCCAGCCCATGCCTTGAAAATATGCTATGTGCATGCATGCCCCAAATCCCCACAGGCTGGGGAAACGGAGGAAAAGGGATTGTGGAGTGACTCTTTCGGCGGAGATGCTTTGTCCCTCCTCCCACTCCCAGTCTCTCTGTCTCCGGTAAGTACATATCCCTCTGTTGAGGCCTCTCCCTCATATCCTGCAATTTGAAAATAAATAGGGCCTTGTTGTGTAGGAATGTTGCATTACAGGGCTGTGGTCAAAAGTGCACAGGTGCAGACCTTGGGCTCTGAAGTCAGAGGGAATGCGCTTGAATCCTGGTTCTGACATTTACCAGCTCTGTGGCCTTCTGTGTGCTTGTTTCTTATTGGACAATGTGCCTACCTAGATGGGCCGTCCTGAGTTTCAGTATGAATGCATGTCAGGATGTTTTTGTATGTCGAACACTTTCCAGACTACCCGGTATGTGATAAGCGCTCCACCCTGGGTAGGGGTTGTCAGGATGAGCATCGTACAGTGAAAAGCCGCAGCGACCTAAAACATGGCACTGTGAAGTGCTGATGTCGGTGTAACACACAAAGGCTGAGCTGTCCCTGACACTCATGTTTCCCAATTGCCTCCCAGCAGTGGGAAGAGAGGCTGCAGGAACAGCAGAGAACGGTTCAGGACAAGAAGCGACCGGCTGGGCGCACCAGTCGCAGTAACCCCCCCAAGCCCAAGGGAAGGCTGCCGGCTCCCAAACCAGCTGGGCCTAAGAAGACCATTAAGGCCCGGAGCGCTCCGAAGAAAACAAACTCCAAAAGAGTGTGAGCTCACTGCTTTCCAGTACGGAGACTTCCTCACAGTGTGCGAGGCCGGGCGTCGCCTGGGACGGCCGGTGGAAGGCCACACACTCCTTGCCTTAAGAAATCACTGCAGTGCTCTTCCTAAACAAATCTTACAGCATTTTCCTTAATGATGTGCTTCAGTTTCTCTTTCTCAGCCGTCACAAGCCAGAGTGATGTTTCTTCTTAGATATGAAAGGCGTATTCAAGGTATTAAAGCTGGGGCCAAAAGCTCGTTGCAGTCAGAGAAGCCAGCGTGCCTACCCTAGATCTCCACTTGAGGAAACTATGCTTTTTATGATTGACCTAATATGAGCATTGTAAAATAAATGCCATATTTCGAACACAAAGTCCACGTTTTTTTACGATACATTTCATTTTTGTTTGACTTCTGTTGCTAGAATGTTAGTGATACTTTGAAATGTGATTGAAAATATGATGCTTCTCAAGAGGAAAGCAGAAGTGAATGTTTACGAGACCTCCATGTGTTTATTGTCTACAGAAGGATTTTTGTAATGAAAGATTTTTTAAAAAATATCTAAAGAAGAGATGGAAAGTTGTAGAGTGTGTGTGTGTTTTGTTTTTACAAAGAAACTTTTCTGCTCTGTTTTTAGCTAGAAATTTTAAAAACTAAAATAATAAAAATGATGATAAATAAATAAAAAGGAGGCGGATAGATGTCTAGATTCCTGTTTTCTGGGTCCATGCCATGGTGGAGACGATCCAATTTCAGGATCATGATGTTTCTCATCAGTGCCGTTGGAGTAGCACCAGAAATAGTGCATTTGGCCCGCTGTGATTTAGGTACCAGTTAGTCCGTCAGCGCCTTTCAACTATTTGACACCCACGACAAGAGGGTGGGGTCCACCTCACTTCCCAGGACACCCTCACAAGGTTACCTCCAGCAAGGTAACCATTACACTCTCTGCTGGCCTGCCAACCTGAGAGGATTCCCGCTTTGCCTGCTGGTGCTTGCAGCAGGGCCTGCAGGACTGGGGTGGGAGCTGGGACTCCAGGGCTGGCTCCCAGTGTGCCGTGGCACCTCTGCCACACCCAGCTCTGAGCCTGCAGAAGGAACCACTTGTCTATTCTGTATGCATGAAGGTAGCAGAATAATCTCAAAGTCTTTCCTCCATTGGATTTGCCATTGTTCCTGCTTTTCAAGGCAGGAGTAAGTTACACTTTGAATTCACACAAGGCTTTACAGATGACCTAGCTTCGTCTGTAGTCTGGAGGACACAGAAGTGAGGTACATGGGTAAGCCAGGAGAGAGTGGCGAAAGCGAGCTAAAGAGAGTGTTGGTTCATGTACCCACCTCCTCCTGAAAGCTTAATCTGCCTGTGTTGGGGCCGTGTGAGTGGGGTTAAAGTGATCCCGTAGGTTGACCCATACAGCACACAGTGTGTGATCGTCCTATACAGAGCTGAACTTCTTTGGTTCTTGAGAACATTTTAGGTGTTCTGCATAGCAACCAAACTCAGTGATCCTAAGAAATCATTAGTAGGCTTTGGTATTCTGTCTTATCTCCTTAGCACAATAGGGATTCTTTGGAGGAAAGGGAATTGGAAAAGGAACTGACCACGGAAATGGAGAAAAGAAATCACATACATTTATTTTTTTAAAGTACAAACCTGAATGTAATAACAAAGTAAGGGCACCAGGGTGATCTGTGCTGGTTCTGATGCTCACACGTAGGAACGTGGACGTGGAGGGGATATGGAGCAGAGCTTGACTGAAGGAGGAAAAGCTTCCAGTGCAGGGGAAGGGAGGGAGCCTGAGCGGGTCACCACACACTGAAACAGCCTAGTTATACAGCATCCGGGCCAGGGAAACAGCCTAGTCATACAAGGTCCAGGCCAGGGAAACAGCCTAGTTATACAGGGTCCGGGCCAGGGAAGTGGCCTAGTTATACAGGGTCCGACCAGGGAAGTGGCCTAGTTATACAGGGTCCAGGCCAGGGAAGTGGCCTAGTTATACAGCGTCCGGGCCAGGGAAACGGCCTAGTTATACAGGGTCCGGACAAGCGAGAGAAACAAGTCTGAGGTGGGTTATCAGCCCAGGTCCTGGTGTTTGAGACACCTGGGAGTCGAGCTAATCTTAGTCTCTGGAGGAGGCCAGATGGCTCCGGGTAAAACTAAGGGTTAATGACGGACATTTCCTCGTCTTTGTGCTCTGAACTGTGACTACTACTGATCTAATTAAGTCTATCAGCAAGGAGTGAATTATTTAGGAACATGTAAGGTGAAAAAAAAAAGTATGTTGTACTTAGGGGACAAAACATAAGGGCCTCATTAAAAAATCTCTCATGGGCCCCCTGCCCAAGAGTGGGGTCTAACTCCTGATTCTCCCTGTCTGAAGAAGTACCCCTAGCTGCCCTTGGGAGAGATGGGATGAATACCATTCTGGTTCTTTCCATGGGAGGGGGTGTTGAAAGGGGTGGCAGTCAGGGCGTCTCCATCAGAGGAGACTGGGCTCCCCAGGAGAAGGGGTTTCCAACACAAGGTCACGGTGGGTGTAGCCTGAAGAGACATCTGGAGTTGGGGAGCTTCCAGGCAGGAAGAGACAAGTTAACAGGTGCAGATACGGTCCACAGAGACAAGTAAGTAAGATGATGCTTACAGGTTCCGAAAGAGCAAAAGCCAGGAAGGCCCTCCTAAAGCAGGCTGGGAGGACACAAGCAGCCTCTAGTGAGTAGAGGGTTTTCTCTCAGGGCAAAGGAAACTGGGACATACGGCAATTCTGAATATTTTTCCCAATCTATGACAAAAAAAGATCTCATTGTAAAAGAGTATTGTAATTAATACTTCCCTCTGGTGGCCAAGTTTCCCCATCTTCTAGCTTATATTGTGGCCAGCTCCACGTGAGAAAGAACATCAGGCATTTTTTTCCTCAGTGCCTGAGGCTCAAAGCAATCCCAATGTTTCAGGATACAATCGGGGAGGGGGGGGGACTACAGTGGTAATGCGCTCTGCAGTTGAGGGAGAAAAGGCATTCCTTCATTCTCTTCATTTTGTTACCTTGGCAATGAATCCAGTCAGGCGGTCATCACACGGCAGGCTGGGAGGAGCACAGGGGTGACATTGCATCCCAAATCACTAACAGACCCCTCTATACTCTGTCACTAGCTTCCCACTCAGTCACTGGGGATTTGTTTTTAAGAGAGATTTTTGCTGTAGGGTCCATGCACTTGCCAGAGAGAAAGAAAGGAAGAAACCAGTCCCCTCCGGGAGGGGATGGCTATGCTGCAATCCCGTCTCCGTTCTCCTCTTAGGATTTTGGGCATGTACGCACACACACCTGGCCTGAGTTTAAACCACTAGGTCCAGACTCAAACCACAGTTGACTATATGGAAGTCCAGCGAGGTAAACATTCCACTATCTGTTGGTCCCAGTCACTAGGGAACTTCTAAAAGGACTAAGTATGGTCAGATCTCTTTAGACTCTTCTCAAAGGAGAAAGAAGTCGGAGCTTGGCCAGAGTGCTGGTCTCCTTCCCTTAACCAGAGTCAGGGCCTAGAATTCAAATATGATTTTATGTGATGGGAAGAAGTGAGAGAGAAGAAATAGCACCCCAGTGATTTCAGGGCCCTTATCAGCATTGCTTTCATTGGTGTAAATTTTGGGCAACTTCCAGTAGTCTTTGTGGAACGTTCTGTTCTGGTAGAGGACTTCAGTTTGGCTTCCACATCCCCACCCTCGGGGGCACATCTCAGCCAGAGCTTCAAGCTGTGCCCACCCATTTTCAAGTCCTAATTTTCCTCAGCCACAGTGGCCCAGAACATCATTTTACTGCCTGAAGTCTGGCCAAAATTCAAGACTAGCCCACTTGTCTGAGCCTGGAGTACTTTCTAGCCTTTACTAACGTTTCTCCCCCCACTGGGTGAGAGATCATTTCCGGGGACTGCCAGCCTCAGCTCCCATGTGCTGCTGTGTCCCACTCACTAAATTCAATCTCGTCCAGGTCGAGACTAACACAGTGCTATGATCGGAAGGTCTCCCACAACACTCGCATTGAGATTCAGTCGTCCCATGCGATGGTATTGGGAGGTGAGACCTTTCGGAGTAATTGGGTTGGGATGACTCTGTCCTCATGGTTGGTTTAATGCCATTGTCATCAGAACAGGTTAGTTATCCACCGAAGGGGCTCCTGAGAAAAGGTGTGACTGGCCAGGTTTTATCTGACTTCCACCTTCTGTCCTCCACCGTGGGATGACCCTTACTCAATGCTAACTCCATGCTCCTGGACTTTGCAGATTCTAGGTTTGTGAGAAATTTCTGTTCCTTATAAATGACCCAGTCTGTGGTATTGTCATAGCAGCAGCACATGGGCTAAGACTTGTAAGTGAAGGTTTAATCGAATATGTCTCTTTGGACATCATTAGGCTTCTGGCTAGTAACTCAAAGCTAATCCTACAGTCAAAAGAACTGGCCTTTCTCTGTGTGCAGAAAATCTCTGTACAGATACACTCTTACGTTTATTTTTATACACAGCTGGATATAGCTTGCCATCTGCTGGTGAAATACGGTATTACTTTTACGAGTTTCTGTTCTTTTCAAAACTGTTTTGAAGTTCTGAGCCATTCACAGCAGTGTCTCACTTAACACGATCATATTGTGAGTGCCCCAGTGCTCTCAGCCCGTGGGAACCACCAGCTGTAGTTGTCCCTCCTCCTCCACTCTCCTCCTGGAACCTGGGGCATCGCCCACGGACACCTGGCATGATTTCCAAGCCACCAGATCTGGGACTCACACTGCGGTCGGCCATGTGGGAGTCCAGCCCCAGAACTACTGCACTACCTGCTGGTCCCAAGAAGTGGAGATTTTTATTATACCTATTTCTCTGCACAATCCAAAGGAAGGTAGTAAATGATTTACCTTATTTTAAAAATATGAATTCTGAAAAAAAAGTTAAGAAATAACCTTACTTATAGTTTCCATGTAACTAGATTTTGCATAATTTTAACAATATTCATAGGCATGCTTCTCATAGTATTGAAACACTCATGTTGTGGGGTGAGTAATCTGTTACTGGTCAAAGCTTGTATTTTAATTTTATAAGTATCAGAGTTTGGAGGTTAATCATATGACACCCTCTTCACTTACTTGCAGTCATGTGTTTCCATGAACAGAAAGACAATGAGGATGTCACAACTAACACTCTGGGAGCCAGTTTAACCCTGGCTAGAAGCTTACGGGGGCATTGCAGTAGGAAACATCATCTGATTACAGAGAGAGAGAGAGGGAGAGAGGAGAGAGAGAGGGAGAGAGGAGAGAGAGAGAGGGAGAGAGGAGAGAGGAGAGAGAGAGGGAGACGAACAAAACAATGGCAACTCTGCCTTCTAGCCCCAGATGTATTTATATTACTTCTTCTTTCAGGGAACTAGGAACGCAGCATGCCCATGGTGAGCTGCAAATTATATAATGTTGAATGTCGTTTGTTCAGCGTTTCCTGCTGGAATGCTCAGAGCCACGTTTTGGGCCACCTTCTAAATCCATGGCAGGGCCTTGTGTGCATCCTACGTGTGGCTCCTCTCCTGACCTCATCGACCTGTCCTCTCTTCTCCCATGCCCCATGATCCCCCCCAGTTGCGTTGGTGTATCTTGGGTGCACTTACATAGGTCGCCTTAAATTCTTTCTGGTAAAAGCAAACACCACGATCTGTGAGTGAGCTTTTTTATTGTTGTTATGCATAGCCAGGGATTCTCCCACATCGAGATGAATTTTCCTCTGAAGGATGTCTTTCTTATCACTCTCAGGATGCCGTGTCACATGCTGTATGTTGGTCTGAACGTAGATACTACCTCCTCAAAGTTCTAGAAACAGAAAGAATGCAATGAAACAAACGGCTGTGTCCTGTGCTGATCTGAAAGCAGCTGCCGCTTTCCGCAGGGGAGTGCCCCGGCATGAGGCAGGAGCGCAGAACTCAGGAGTCGGGCCTTTTCTTCGCCTGTAGGCAGCCCATTGAGAAAGCAAACCACCGGAGGATTTTTAAAGCAGTGAGGTCAAGAGCAGACCCTCTGACTTACAAGTAATCACAGCTTTCTACCCAGCCCTTTAAAAGACAGAATTGCTGGTTAAGCCAAAGGGGAGGGTAAGAAGGGGAAGGATCTGAGAAAGCCACTGGAATGACTGGACAGCTATGTGCTGAACCCCATGGAGAGGCTGGAGGAGGGAGTGGACAGACAAGAGAGGCAGTGCTGGGGGCAGGGTTATGAAGGCAGAAACGTCCAAAGAAGAGTTTAAAAAATGTTTGTTGTTGTTCATTGTTTTGGGGAAAAATCTTCCATTTGCTATCTCTTTAAAAACTTTATTAAAGGCTTACTTTTATTTAAGGCTTTTGATTAAGGTTACGTGTCTTCTCTTTAAAATATGTCATCATTCTAGCTTAATTTTCTATCTTCTCGAGGAGAATTGCTATTTGTTTGGCTTGGTTTTTGCCATCAGGTGCATATGCTCACCAGAGACAGAGAGGGAAAATGAGAAATCCCCTGGAAGGAGGGATGGCTATGCTGCAATCCAATCCCTTCTCCTCCATTCTCCTCTCTGAATCCTGGACAAGCATGCACACGCAACCCATGTGATTTTCAAGCCATTGGGTCCTGAACTCAAACCATGGTCAGCCATGTGAGATCCAGTACCTTAACCATCATGCCACCTGCTGACCCGTCAGGATGCGTTTGGAGGAGCTACATTGCAAGGGATTTTTGTGCTTCTCTAAGGGACCATTACTCCTTGTTTTACTTTACTTGTTACTATTTTTTTTAATCATATATATACACACATATATATAATTTGCCATTGCAATAGTTTAAATATATAAATCAGTGGCATTAATTACATTCATATTGTTTGCCACCATCCCCACAATCTATTTCTCGCTTTGGTAACACTGACTTTGAAACGCGATTTTTCAAGATCTACTTCACTTCTTACCTTCCTCAGCTCTCAGCTGTGAAAGGCAGACCTGCTATGTCAGCGCTGGCTTATACACTAATTACAAACCTCTCTGTCAGTCACACAGCGCCCCCTGTCGCCACAGGGAGGGTTATGCAGAGGTCAGGAGAGATTCCACTATCGCTCCTATAAGGTCCTTGGAAAAGTCCTGATACAGTTTTGGATGGATTTGCATTTCCCTCAAGTAACAACCATTAGTCAGGGAGTTCTATATTGACCAAGAACTCACAGTTCAAGCAGACACATACTGTATGTTTTCCCTATGTAGATGTTCACGGGTTGTAAGACTATCCTTCCGACCATAATCCACCCAGGCTTATGGAATAACTGTCACCATACGGGAACTTACTTTTATTTCACACATCTACAATTTTGATAGCATTTGTAAACCCGGAGAAACCATGGCCTCAATGACAATATTCAGGGAGCAATTTTATCCCTGAGGAATCTCGTTGGGTAGGGCTTTCTCTATGTCACAGTGGGTTCTCCTGTGGTAGGGAGACTAAGTCTCAGTGTAGCCCGTCCAAGGAGGGACAACACTGCCCACAGAAGAGGCTGCACGGCCACATTCAAGTCAGCAGCAAGAGCCACGTGGCGGACTCTGGGGACTCTCCTCAATCCGAATACAGAAGGAAGTGGACTTGGGCTTCCACACCACCTTAGTAAGAAGGAGACAAATGCACCAAGTACACACTCATCTCTGCTCCGTAGCCACCTCTGCGAGGTGGAAACGATTTCCTGTTACTCCATGATTTCCGACATCCTCTTACATTGTATGACCACGCTAGTTGGTAGGTTCCAAGTTTCCAAATATTTAGATGACATAGGAATAGTCAAGGACAGGGACTGCACACAACTCTGTCACAGCCGATGACACAAACAACTTGGGTTCAAGGCTTGAGAAGTGAGGGGTGTCTCACCTGACCCTCACTCACCCTCTCCCACCCCACGGCCTCCATTCCTATCGCCTGAGCGTGGCTGCATGCTGCTGGAACCCCCTGTCATTGTCATCTGCTTTGGAAACACGAGTGTCGGTAGGAGTAGAGGTTGATTCAGGAATATGGGGTGAGGTCTAATCTTTCCAGGATAGGCTCGGTCACTGTGACAAAGGAAGAAAATAATAAAGAGGTACACATCACAGTTCATACTTCCGTTTTCCTCGGGGTTCTCAGAAATGAATTCCTCAAACATTTTGCCAATGCTCTCCACGGCCTCGAAGACACTAGATGATCCGTGAACAGCGTTTCTCAGCATACTGACCCCGTATTGGGCCCGGATGGAGTCTGGTGACAGCAGTCGCGCTTCCTCTGGGTCTGTTGGCCCCATCAGTCTTCTCCACTCGGGAATAGCATCCCACTTGGTCAGGATCATGACGACAGAAGGCCCCCTGCAGATGAGGACACTGTGAGAAGATTCGGTCTATTTACGACCGCAGAGTTCACATACACAGCGAAAACCCGAGTGTCACAGCTTGGTCCAGGGAGCTCCTCTTTATCCTTTGACTTTGTGCAATTTTTATTCTTTTTTTTTTTTTTTTCATTTCTCTGTCTTCTGCCAGAATTTTATGTCACATGAGAGCTATAGTCTAGTGCTAAGGAATATTCATGAATAGCATCTTTTTTTTATTATCTTTGCTACTTTGGGCCCAGTCAGTACCAATGTTGTCATGGGTTACTTTGCGGTTGCTTTTCGCTTCTAGCCCCTTCAGGATCTTCCACTACAAAGCACTGCCCTGCTTGGCCTACCACTTCCAGGGGCCGGCCTCCCGTGACTGTGAAAACACAAAGGCCTGGCTGATCCAGGACAGCTGGGCGGGGCAGTCCGACCCTGGTCACTGCAGTCTGCTGCCCTCCTTGTACTGCATCCTGCCTCCTTCCACTTCCCAGTCTGGCGTCTCTCTCCAGCCTTCCGCCTGGCGCCCTAATAAACAGCCTCAACAGGAGACTGCTTCCCAGGAGATGCAACCTACAGCCAACATGAATGATGGCTTCTCTGTGCTCAAATCACTAACCTTCTGCGTACTAGCACCTAATTACAACTCGTACATTTCATTGAATCGTTCGTTTGAACTCATTTTGCCTTTTTAGACTCCTTGACAAATGATCATGGGCTGAAAGGGGCCGAGGTGCACTAAAGAGGCTTCTTGGACAGATGTGTGTGTACGAACGCACGTGATGGTCACTGAAGGAGTCTCCCCCAAACTCCCGCCTTGAGACTTCTTTTCTGGTGACGGTATGCAAAGGGGCGAAAGCCCAGGGATGAAGATGTGGAGCATTTGGTAGATGATTAGGACTAGGAAAGGTCATCGGGGTGGAGCCTCCCTGAGTGGGTCCTGATGACTTTATAAGAAGGGGGACACAGAAACAGACCTAGACACACACACTTCCCTTCTGTCTTGCCATGCGATGCTCTGTGCCACCGTGGGACTCTGCAGAAAATTCCCTCCAGTAAGAACAAGAACCTTTCCAGATGTGGCCTCTGACCTTGAACCTTCAAGCTTGTGAACTGAATAATTTTTGTTCCTTCGAATAACTCCGTATGGGTCTTCAGTTATTAAGTAATAGAAAATGGACTAAAATCACACATACACAAGGAGGGGGAGTCTTCAAAACTTTCATGGTAAGTGTGCATTACAAAAAACTACCCACAAGCAAATTTTTTGTCCCAAATGAACTCATACTTCATTCCAGTTTTCCACAAACTTTTTGAAGTCTCCCTGTGTGTGTGTCTGTGTGTGCACACACACAAAAATACTTTTAACCTCCAAGTGCATTGAGAACTTTTTGAAGTCTCCCTGTGTGTGTGTCTGTGCGTGCGCACACACAAAAATACCTTTAACCTCCAAGTGCATTGAGAGGAATATACAAATAATCACGATGTTAATGTGAAAGGGAGTTCTGGGAAGCAGAAGGGAAAGCACGGGCTCTCTCTGCCCAAGGCCCCGAAGAACACCAGTTTGTGACTGTGGACAAGTGTCAGCCCTGGCCCCTGTTCCCTCATAACCAGTGTGGAAACTCTAGTGAAAACTACTTTCTAGAGTTGTTTTAAGAGTCAGATGAAGTCAAGTGTGTGTGTCTGTGCCATCCCTGGGATTAAAATCATACTCAATAAAGACTAACCTTTTACTTTGACGCGGTGCTTATAACGGGTATGTGCTGTGAGGAAGGATCCATAAGATGGAGAAAACGTTTCCAAGAAGCGTGTTTAGCATCATAATATTTATGGAACTACACACATATGTTGCATAGACATAAGGAATTTGGCAAGGCATCTACACATGTACAAGAAGAGATGAGAACCACTAACATTTATTGAGTGCTTGATATATGCAACATGCTTCGAGTACTTCCAAGGTATCACTTCTGAGCCTCACTGCACGCCTGTGAGCCAGGTACTATTATCTTCATTTTACAGAAAAGGGAACTCAGGCACAGATTACGTATGCACAAAGCAGAGATTTCAACCCAGACAGACTCCAGGTCTAATGTGGCAAAGACTTAAACAGAGAAAGAGGGCAGGATAGAAGAAAGGGAGAGAAGGACGGAGGGATGGAAGGAGATACAGAAGGAGAGAGAGTGAGTGAGGAAGATAGCATGCGAGGAGAGGAAAGAAGTAGAAAACAGAAGGACCCCCAGTGTTAATGGGTGTCTTTTCATGAATGAGATTAGAAAGAATGTTTTAATTAATTTCTGTATCTTTCAGTTTCCCCAATGAACATTTAACTTCTATAGTGTGAAAAAACGATATATCAGAAACTTACTCAGATAATACTTCCAATACATCTTTATAAAAGTCTTTCCCTTTTATTTTTGAGTAAATTTTGTCTGCTTCCTCTGGAATTAGGAGTACTTCCTTCAATAGTGACAGCTCAAATCCAGCCTTCTTAATAAGCTGCAGGATCTCCACTAGGAAAGACAGATATTTTGGAGATTATTCCACCTTCGCTCCATATTCAAGTAGATTGAAATACCAAAACATATATATATATAATAGTTTCACGTGCATATCATGGTTTAAAACGTCGAAACTAAGATCAACTGCTGGTGTGTTGGTTAAGGTGGCTGGATCCGTCATGGCTGAGTCCCAGACCTGGCGGCTTGAAAAACAAGCCAAGCATGTGTGCATGCATGCCCAAAATCCTAAAAGGAGGAGAAGCAAAGGAAGAGGGATTGTGGTGTGGCCATCCCTCATAAAGGGTGCTTTCTTTCTCTCTCTCTGTCTCTCTCTGGCAAACACACACATCCTACAGCTAATTTAAATAAATAGATAAACAAATAAATAAACTACTTTGAAATAAATCAACTGAAAATGCACCAGATTGCTATTTAGAAGAACTTTAACACACAGTGCAGATGCTCAGTCTCTGAGATCCACCTTTCCAGAAATCACCCAAAGCACCTAACAGACTACAGAAGGAAGAGCAAAAGGAATCTGCTCTATTGCAGGAAGGAAGGCATCTTCACCTCGGTGCAAGGAGTGCAAGGAATTTCTCACTAGGTACAGACCGAAGGGTAGAGTGGACCTGACCTCTGCTCCCTGAAGAAGCAGGGCAGCATGGAGGAATTTAAACAAAGTAAATTTGTCAAAGTCCCCCAACAGCTTCAATTTTGAGGGTTATGTCTGGAGTTGGTGGTGGTGAACCAACTGAGATTGGAAGCTTTCTGGTAAAACAGCCTCTTCCTGCTCCAGCTCAAAAGCACTTAGAAGCGCTCAACTTAGTTGGGAGCTATGGACAAGTGTGACCCTGACTAGCAGAAAGTCTGGAGAAGGCTGGACTTCTATAAAAGGTCGTGGTTGGGATTGCCCTAAGCCAGGCACCGTGGAAAAAGAACATAAGCTCTTTCTCAGATATGAACGGTCTGATCAGGGGTCCAGGTCATGATTATTTTAGTCATATACAATGTTTCTGGAACCACAGGAAGTAACTTCTTCTGGGGAAATCAGGAATGACTTCTCAGAGACACTGACCTTTGCGTTCAATATAGAAAATCTAAGGTGTGGTCACTGAGCAGACAACAGAGGAAGGACAGCATGGGAGAGTGAGCAAAGCAAGCCAGGTTCACGTAAAACGAAAGTGAAGGGAGAAGACCCGGCGAGATGAAGTTGGCCAAGCAGGCAAGAGGGGTGGCCAAGAGTTCTGCCTTGGGAAGGGGTTTGGCCTTGCCCCCAAAGGTGAGAAGGATGTTTAAAGCATTTTCAATGGGTTTGAAGTAAAACGAAAGTGAAGGGAGAAGACCCGGCGAGATGAAGTTGGCCAAGCAGGCAAGAGGGGCGGCCAAGAGTTCTGCCTTGGGAAGGGGTCTGGCCTTGCCCCAAAGGTGAGAAGGATGTTTAAAGCATTTGAAATGGAACACACTCGGGTTTGAACTCTAGGAAGGCAATTTCCTTTGCAGTGTGAAGGATGAATTGGGATGGGGCATACACTTGTGAAGAGGAAGTACCACGGCAAGGTGTTGGGAGCTGATGAGATCTTCGGAAGGCACTGTCTCTCTGGAAAAGGAGACACCCTGGAGAAGGAAAGTGGCTGGCACTATTTGAGGATGAACAGGGGAAGCAAATGGCTGAGATTGATGTCTTAGATCCAGAGTGCACTGCAGAAACAAGATGGCGCCACCCCTTCCAAGGCCTTCCTTACCACAGAAACAGCTTCATCATCCAGAACCAAGAGAATGTGCTGAACAGAGAAACTGAGCAAGACAACCAAAATCCTCGCAGGCCTCCACTGAACCATCTGAAGGAGCAGGTACAAGCAAACTCTACATCTTTTATAATAACTGAATAAGAACAATGATCCTAAATCTTCTTGGCATTACTACAAAAGATAAAACTATTTTCCTGAATAAAGTAATTTTCCTTTTTCAATGAAAGTAAAAAGAAAGACTAACAAATGCAAAAAAACAAACAAGCAAACAAACAAAAAACCAACCACAATAATATAATACTCTAATATAAGCGGCACTTGGGATTTAAAAAATATCGTGAATAAAAACCTCGAACTCAAAAATAGAAGCAGTCAAGCAGTAAGTGCATGTGAAGTAAAAGTTGACTATATTCAAAAGAGAATTGAAGATAGAGATAAAATCACCCCAAATGCAGGCTAAATTTAAAGATGCCTAATGGAAGACACAACTTAAAATACAGCAAACGACAGGGGACAGAACGGTGCAGCAGCGAAACTTCGTATTCTTCTGAAAATTAAAATTCATAGGGCCACAGATGATGTAGCAGCCACAGTGCTGGACTCCCACATGGCCAACTGTGGTTCAAGTCCCGGGCCTTTGGCTTGAAAACCAGGTACATGTGCTTGTGTGCCCAAGATCCCAGGAGAAGAATGGAGAAGGGATGGAGGCCTGGCCATTTACCCTGGGGGTAGGGGGTGATTTCTCC